CCTAACCCTACCCCATGCCTACCCACCCCACCCCCTCTCTCGGAAAAGGCTTATATATTTTCAGTTTTAGTTTTTACGTCTTTCGGTTTACATGTTTGAAATTTTACAAGTTCCAAAATTATAAGTTCGGAGGTTTATGTGTTTGGAAGTTTACGCGTACCAAACACCGAAAAATGAATAAGATTACTACTTGTTTTCCAAGAAAACATTTTCTTGAAAAATATTTTCCACGAAAAATATTTTCCGTTATACCAAACACACCCTAAGTATGAAAATATTTTTTTACAGTATCAATGCATATAATTAACTTGGATTATTATTAGTCACACCTTCAATCCTGTTTATCCTTTTCTTATTTTTTTGATAAGTTAATGCTTCTAAAGAACGAGAAAGCTAGGTGAGACTGATGAAGTTATCTGTCATGTAAATACATTAAAGGCTTGTGTATTTAGGTGTCAAATGAATAATTAAGGTATGAAATATCAAATTTTTTTCTGAGAAGCTCAACTGTGTTTGCAGAGACACTGGGCCATAGGGTCCCTTTCCCATGGACTTCAATGCTAGGTTTCATTGGGTAAGTATAAAGATCCAGCCACCATTTTTAGGCTTGGTAATTTGTTACTAGTATTAAACTTGAATCTCTAGTTGATATTTAGTCCCTGTTGATGCTTGAAAACTTCATCGAAATTCTTGAATACGTAAAAAGATGCAGCAGCCACATTTCTTGGACTAGGGTCGACAAGACTAAATTTGAGTCTCTCTTGTTGCTATATATAATTTTCCAGTTGATCGTCGTTTTCATTAATCCAGACAACGTCGCGTACGTACCTCTTATGCAGTGGCTTGAAAACTTAATCCAATTTCTTAAATGAATATTCATGACCTACTGATATACATGCAGCCATTGATGTGTTGATTGCAAAGTAAAATAAATGAGGTGATAAAAGCTGCTTGAAGGACTAGGTCATTCTTTTAGAGATCAAGTTTTGTTCTCAAAGGTACAATTCATGAGCCGCAAAGAGATCATATATTTTCATAACAATCACAGCACTAGCAGTATATATAAAGGAACAAATGTCGATAAATTGGAGAGAATCCCAATCTACCATGAAATTACTCAAAATTGCCGGTTGATACTCCAGATGTTCTGGTCACAAGACTGCATCAGAGAGTCACAGAACAATCTCTTCTCCAATTTTCTAATTCAATATTAGTTTCCCCTTATATTTTGTGGAACTTATCACTATTACTCCCAGTAAGTTTCTCCTCTTCCGGGATTTTCAAGTTACTTGACTGTAATTGACCTACTACTCAAGTAGAGTCTGGGAAGCGTAGTGTGTACGCAAACCTTCCTACCTGGTAAAGGTAGAAAGGTTGTTTCCGATAGACCCTCGGCTCAAAAAAAAAAAGGACAACATAGAACAAATAAAAAGAAAAAGGGAAAACAATATTTAGAGGCACAACAATAGCAACAAACCCAGTCTAATCCCACAAGTGGGGTATGGAAAGGGTAGTGTGTACGCAGACCTTACCCCTACCTGGTAAAGGTAGAGAGGTTATTTCCGGTAGACCCTCGGCTCAAGAAAAAATAAGATAGCTAAAGCGAACAAAAATAAGAGGAAAACAAGATAGCTGAAGCGGAAAAGGACGAAAAGGAAAAAGGAGAAGTAGCATCAAACAGTAACAGGAAAATAAGATAGCTAAAGCGGACGAAACGTGAGAATAGCACTAACCGTCAATATCAGTAATAGTCCCTTTGTGCTGAAAAGATCGGAAGAGAAGTACTGAGTCATGTTAAAGTTATATATTACCTGATCAGAAGCCCATGCATGTTACATGTAACTCCAGCATGATAATGTAAGTAAATCTCCCTTTCAAAGAAAAGAAGGAAGATACAACTAGTCCAGCATTCTAAAATTTCCTACAAAAGAGGGTTAATTTCCTCTTCAAAACAGGAGGGCGAAATCAAATCCTCTCCCCGTTTTTCCTTTGCTATTTTTTTTCTTTCATTTTTTAACTCTGACCAAAGAGACTGTACATCTGGTGTGTGGTATAAGCCACCAATTGAGGCCCTTGTTATCTGTGGGTTGCCTACACGTTCTCCTGGCAGAGTCCGATCCCTCCTGAAAAAGAATGGGCAAAAGCAGCAGTAAGATTATGTTAAAAGAAAAAAAACAAAAACGTAAAAAGCACCAGATGACTTTCCTCTGTGTCTCTCCTAGTACTTCTGTATGTGTACATTATATGTATATGTTACAAAAAAGGGATCTGACAGAAGCAGATATCATCCCAGAGGAAAAGAAGTATTATCACTAAATTATGATTATACTGAATTAAGTATAAGATGATACAGAGACAAAAGCAGGAGTCTCATTGCACAATCCAGGTAAACATTAGTGTACAGCAATAGTGCTAAGGATTACGAAAAGCAGTTATGTCAATACATCAGTATACTACTTGGTGCAACTAAATTACTCTCAGCTTATAACTACAGAATGAGCCGTAGGCTTAACAGCATATAGAGACTCCTTTATCATATATGACTTACATAAGCCGATCATTAGTTGCACCACTCATTGATGTTGAGCAGAGATGAGCTAGTACTTATTGTTGAATCAGCCAAGGAAAGATTTCAATATGTTCTTCGACTCGTAACTGAAAACGATACTTCAAGTTTATAAGCTTAAGCTGGGGGTAAGGAAAAGGAACATTTTAACCAACTAGCTTACAGTAATTACTGCAATATATCATCAGAAGTTATCCAATATGCCATTCTGCAGACCATGCTAGTTGTATGTCAAATCCTCAAATATACCATAGACTGTGACATTGAGTCATGCATGAACTCAATATATCAGTCCCTTATTGGGAAAAAATAGTGAACATTAGATCGTATCAGTCCTATTTCCACCAAGGTGTCATAAACCCAATCAGCGAGCTAGTTTAAAGATAAGAAATGAACAAAAAGGAAAAAGGGGGACTTAGACACTCATAACTGAACTTTGCATGAAAAGAAGAGTAACTCTGTCATCATTTGAATATGGTTAGCAGTGACGTCCTCCATTGCAGCGATTGAAGGTAAAAGTCACATGTCAAGTGTAAGGGAGCAAAATTCAACTTCTGTATACTTCATATAAACAACATGAAGTGTGATCCCGCCTTTCTGTTTTACAACTTTGCCACCAAAAACCACTTAACCACCACTATCCTCATCCTTTACGCTTAAAATATCTCTCTAATAACAACCACAAAGCAAAAACAAAGGGGATGATTCATCAGGGCAAGATACAAAGAACTGTCAATGAAGCAGCAGGATCATAATTGATTTTGATGACATTTTGAATGCGAGATGTAAGATGTGGTTTACTACTGAAAAATTTTACATGGTGATAACATAAAGAGGTTGCAGTTGCATCTGATTCTTCCTTTTCTCTTACCTTTTTTTTTT